ATTATTATTTAGTATACAACAGAATTTAATCTATTTAAATACAGTGAAAATTGTTCAACAATTAGATTATGTTAATCTGGGGGAGTTACCATTATTTTTTTGGTAGTTGCATAGGAAATGAATCATTGCTTATTAGGCATTAATTTCTAGAAATGCAACAAGATGTCCAAAGTTATTTCAAGTAAATAAATATATGTGAAATTCAATATTTGTACATTCATGGGTGGAGCTCTAAATCTTGAGAGTTCTCAAATTAATTTTTTTCTCGTAAAATTGATGGTTTGGTATGTACTTATAATAATTACACAAACGAGTCTTATTTATTTATTTTCTTATTTTTATTTAAATTCCAATTAAGCGTCCATTATATTTTTGTTAGCACCATAAATCTGTAATTTTTATTATTATTTATTATTTATATAATTGCAGGACACGTGACATCCTCTTATTCATTTGGAAGTTAAAAGAAGTTATAGAGATAATGGAGAATATGAAGGACAAAGTGGATGAGTGGGAGGACAAAGTGGATGAGTAGAAGGACACATGGCAAGACAAGAATGAAGATGGAAGAAATGGGTAGTTACTAAGTAGTTATTGCTGTATTTTTTCTTCTATAAATAGCCATTAATGGCTACATTGTAAAAGGATCCAGAACTTAAATCAAAAACACTTGATTTCAATATTTCTTGTCATTTTCCTTATCTTAGGAGTAGTTTAACATAGATTTATATTTCGAAGCATTTATTTTCAGCATTTCCATTTCGAAGCATTTTATGCACTTTCTTTTCGAAGCATAGGAGTAGAGGTAAGTAATTATTACTTACTTTGATTGTTCACTCAATCATCTTCTCCGCCCCTTTTTCTTCTTTTACTTTTTCTTTTCGCTACACTTGGCAAATTTGAAGTCCTCTTCGTTGAGGCAAAAGAACCGTCAACACAATCGCTTGATAATTGGCTTGAATTTAAATCCTTAAGGATTTTTCAATCCTTGCTGGCACGCTCGCATTTATGAATATTCCTTCGTAGAAAAATAAGCCAATATTTTTTGGCAGCGCCCAGTGGGACGTCAAATGTAATAAATGAAAATGAATTGGATTTGTCCATTTCAAATAGCCTAGATGAAATTTATTGGCGTAAACAAGAAATTTTGGATCTTCAAGAAGAGATCCATTTTCTTGATGAAATAAATTTTCATCCCTTACAATATTATTTGGTGGAAGAAAAAAACACCATTTAATTGAGAAATTCATCAACTTGATATGGAAATTCGCCAATGGAATGATGAGTTATCAAATCTCATACCAAGTCTTTAACTGAGGCCTTAATGGTCGGAATTGGTGAATTTTTTCAGAATTTTTCCATGGTTAAAAATAGCAAAAGCAAAGAGTTGATTTATCAATGGCTCGGAGAGTTCAAGAATCCGTTTTTAAAGAGCCAAATTATGAAATTAACATAACGAAAGAGCATATTTTTAAGCCAAATTTGGCTAAGAATGATATTTCATACATGACTCGGGGGGTCCAAAAACCAATTTTTAGAGAGTCAAGTCATAAAATAACATTTCTTATGGGAGATTTTATAAGCCATTAATGGCTAACATGGAAAAACAACCAACTTTGCCAAAGAATTATGAAAATCAATTTGGCGAAAGTCATGTTTTTAAACCAAACATGGTCAAGAATAATGAACAAGCCACTGTTCATGATTCAAAATTTTTGATATTTTTCAAAATGTCCAAAAGTATGAATTTTCATGGTCGCGCTATACCATGATTTTTGTTGTTCAAAATCTATTTTGGATTTGTGGTTCACATCAAAATATAATTATGATGATGTGGCTAATAAAATTAACAAATTGTTTTTATGAGTTCGAAGCACTAAGATAAGGGATGACCATTTAAAATGCATGAACTTGGCTAGAAAAAGCATGTGCATTTAAATAAATGGTTGAGAATGACTTTATTTTCAAATTGATGGCCAGTTGTTTGTATGTACACAATCAAAGCATCGAAGATACATTCGAAGCATCAAGAGTTGTTTCGAAGGTTGATTACTTCACATTCGAAGCTGTATAAAGCTTTGAAGATACATTCGAAACATCAAGAGTTGTTTCGAAGGTTGATTACTTCACCTTCGAAACTGTATAAAACTTTGAAAACTTTCGAAATGTGTAACATCTCTTCAAATGTATGTAAAATGACAATTAATTAGTTGTCGAATAATGCCTGTTTTGGGCATCATAAGTTGGCTCGAAGAACAACAGTTTTGGTGTCTTCGAAGAATTAATAATTGGTTCGAAAACACAAATTAATATTTCCATTAATTATGTGTAACCAGAACATATAGATTTTGATAAACCACAATGGTTGGCCAAAAACAGCTTCGAAAGCCGTTTTGCCATAATTTTGTAAGTTTCGAAGCACTCTATTGCATCACAACAGTTTCGAAGAATAATAATGGTGGTTGTGAACCTTCGAAGCTTTGTCGAGTATTTTTGAGGATGTAATCGTCTTTTGTCGGTTCCATCGACCTTCGAAGAATGATTTTGGTCCTTTATATCACTTTCGAAGCTTGTTATTAGTAATAATTCGAGTCATCTAGTCATAATTTCATACTCATTCGAAGCACTTTATTGGTGTTGTTACATCATTCGAAGCACTTTGCTGCTTAGGTTAGTCTGTGCTTGGTTCGGCCCTTCAAAAATTCAAATAAACATCATTTTTAAGGGCCGCGGGGGGTAATGTTAGCACCATAAATCTGCAATTTTTATTATTATTTATTATTTATATAATTGCAGGACACGTGGCATCCTCTTATTCATTTGGAAGTTAAAAGAAGTTATAGAGATAATGGAGAATATGAAGGACAAAGTGGATGAGTGGGAGGACAAAGTGGATGAGTGGAAAGGACACATGGCAAAAAAGAATGAAGATGGAAGAAATGGGTAGTTACTAAGTAGTTATTGCTGTATTTTTTTTCTATAAATAGCCATTAATGGCTACATTGTAAAAGATCCAGAACTTAAATCAAAGACATTGATTTCAATATTTTTGTTATTTTCCTTATCTTAGGAGTAGTTTAACATAGATTTATATTTCGAAGCATTTATTTTCAGCATTTCCATTTCGAAGCATTTTATGCACTTTCTTTTCGAAGCATAGGAGTAGAGGTAAGTAATTATTACTTTGATTGTTCACTCAATCATCTTTCTCCACCCCTTTTCTTTCTTTTACTTTTTCTTTTTCGCTACACTTGGCAATCTTGAAGTCCTCTTCGTTGAGGCAAAAGAACCGTCAACACAATCGCTTGATAATTGGCTTGAATTTAATCTGTAAGGATTTTTCAATCCTTGCTGGCACGCTCGCATTTATGATATTTTCCTTCGTAGGAAAAATAAGCCAACAATTTTATTGAAGTATCCATCAAATAAAAGTTTATTTTATGTTTTGCAAACAATTCTACCATCGGAAAATGTTTGAGAGCTCGAAACTTGCCTCCCCTAATCCCCCTAATGCCCAAAACGACGTCGTTTTGGGCATTAGGCTTTTTTTTCTTTTCTTTTTTTTTCTGCCATTTTCGACCATTTTCAAGCTCAAACGCAGGGGGAAGAGGGAGAGGGAGAGGAAGAGGGAGAGAGAGAGAGAGAGAGGGAGAGCGAGGGAGAGAAGAGAGAAGAGGGAATGGAGACACACACACACACAGAGGCCCCTGCATTCCGGCCGATCGTCCGATCGTCGCAACTCCGCCGATCGTCGTAGCTCCGCCCGGCCGACGTCGCCTCCGCCTCTGCCTTCTTCCTCTGCCTCTGCCTTCTTCCCTTCTCCCTCCCCTCCCCCCTTTCTCCTCCAGTTCTCCTCCTCTTCTTCTTCTTCCTACTCCTTCTCCTCTTCTGATTCTCAAAAAAAAAAAAAAAAAAAAAAAAAAAAATTCAAAAACGTCGAAACGACGTCGTTTCTCGTTTCGAAGGATTAGGGGGACGCTCTTTCGAGCTACGTAGCACGGCTCTTCTACCATCTATGAACTTTTCATATTTCCTGTACTTATCCACAAGTATGGTAAGCAAAGGATGATATATGACCTGTCATGCAATGAATACCATTTGAAATTTTGGTGTCACTCAATTATCTAAATCTCCTCAATATGGAAAGAACTTAAATATGCACTTGTTAAAAAATAAGTAATACTACTCAATGTATATATATATATATATATATTTAACAAACTTAATTGACGAATTGACTTTTTATATAACATTTTTAGTGATATTTCAATTTATATAATGCTAAAGACAAGTCAATGTATATTGGTTAATATTCAAAAATATGTAAAAGGTACGTTTGAAGTAAGTAAAATGCATCAAAATATATAAAATATTTGTTGAAATTGTAACATTTTTAGTATATTTGAAACTTAAAGAAAGCCATAGAGATTAGCCTGATATGCATTATCTGTACTACTATATAAAATACACATCTTTATTAGTTGGGCAAATTACATATACACCCCTCGAGGTTTGGCTAAATTACAGATACCCCCCTGAGGTTTCGGAAATTACATCCCGCCCCCTGAGGTTTGTATTTTCATAACAATTTGCCCCCTGAGGTTTATATTTCATAACAAACAACTCCCTAATTTCTTATGCAAATATAGTATTCAGGGGAGAATTCGTAATTTCTCAAACCTCAGGGGGGCATCTGTAATTTGGCCAAACCTCGAGGGGTGTATATGTAATTTGCCCTTATTAGTTTGACTTGTCAAAAAATGTTTGAATTTTTTAAAAAAATTCTTATAATTATGTGATAGAATAAGTATCAATTTTTAATTTCTTAAACATACACTAATATAAAGTCCAACTCTCTAACAATATAATTCTATGTGAATTTATAAATTTAAAATTGTGAGTCCCTACATTACAACAACTCCCCCCCCCCCCCCCTTTCTTTTTTTTTCTTTTTTTTTTCTTATCTCAATCTATTAAGTTGTTTTGATATTATATTTGACATTTGTGTATGTGAAAGCCATCATGCTTTAGTGTGAGCGTTCACACCATCTTTCAGACATTTTGTCGAACAGTTCAAAGGCAACGACTTTCTCTACCAGATGCCCCCATTTTTTGTCTCTTTCTTTCTCTCTATATATGAAACTCACTTCTCTTCCTCAACCCGAACAACCAAATTACTCATCTCCTCACTCTGTTTACAATTTCCTCAGCCAAATGGACGACAGCTTCAGCAACAGCGCCAAGAGAAGGCGCCGAAGAAAGGATGGTCTCGACGATAACAGAGATTCCAACACCACCACCAACAACAACAATCATGGAGGTGGTATCGATGAATCGATCAAGAAACAAGAAGGTAACAAAACCAAGGGTTTGAAAGAGATTATAACCTCACTTTTGTTGCTTGACGAGCAAGAAAAACTTGATTCCGAAGAGTGGTCAAAGTCCCACCAAGAAGAGAAGCTCTTATTCGAGTCCAATCACAAGAAAAAGACCCGTGCTATGTTCGATTACTACAACAAATTTCAGGGTTGTTACGATGATTTGGATCAAAGTGATGGGTTGAGGAGGATGAGGCGGAGGAAATCAAGAGCTGCCACGGCTGCTGCTGCGGTGGTCACGGCGGAGCCCGATCAGAAAGGGAGCGACGGCAGCGGAGGAGGAGCGGCGGTGGCGGTGCAGCAGAGGAGGTTGTGGGTGAAGAGCCGATCACAGGCGTGGTGGGACCAATGTAACAGTGCTGAATTTCCAGAGGAAGAGTTCAGGAAAGCGTTTCGGATGGGGAAAGAGACTTTTGACATGATCTGCAATGAGCTGAGCTCTGTGGTAGCCAAAGAAAACACAACCCTAAGAGATGCAGTGCCGGTTAGACAACGCGTGGCGGTGTGTATATGGCGGTTAGCCACGGGAGAGCCTCTGAGGCTTGTCTCCAAGAAATTTGGTTTGGGCATCTCTACTTGTCACAAGCTTGTTCTTGAGGTTTGTTCTGCTATAAAGACTGTGTTAATGCCTAAATATTTGCAATGGCCCGAGGAAGAATCAGCGAGAACAAGGATTATGGGTGATTTTGAATCTGTTTCCGGGATACCCAATGTGATTGGATCAATGTATACTACACATATACCAATCATTGCTCCTAAGATTAGTGTGGCGGCTTATTTCAATAAGCGGCATACAGAGAGGAATCAAAAGACTTGTTATTCGATTACAGTTCAAGGTGTGGTTGATTCGAAAGGGGTTTTCACTGATGTGTGCATTGGTTGGCCTGGTTCAATGCCTGATGATCAGGTTTTGGAGAAATCAGCTCTTTACCAAAGGGCTAATGGAGGGCTTTTGAAGGGTGTTTGGGTTGTTGGGAATTCTGGGTATCCTCTAATGGATTGGGTTTTGGTGCCTTATACCCAGCAGCATTTGACATGGACTCAACATGCTTTCAATGAGAAGATTGGGGACATTCAGAAGGTTGCGAAAGAGGCTTTCACGAGGTTGAAAGGGCGGTGGACTTGCTTGCAAAAGAGAACAGAGGTGAAACTTCAAGACTTGCCGGTGGTTCTTGGGGCGTGTTGCGTGCTGCACAATATTTGTGAAATGACGGATGAACCGGCAGAGTTCACGTGCGATCTCATTGACGATGAGATGGTCCCTGAGATTGGTTTGAGATCAGCAAGCGCAATGAAAGCAAGGGATGCAATTGCACATAATCTTTTGCATCATAACCATGCTGGTACTTCTTTTCTATAATGAAAAAAGATGTGCATTTTGTTCTCTGAAGATTGCATTTTTGTATGTCAAGTTAGGTTTTTAGAATCATACAATAGAGATTCATCAGAATTTGTCAAAAGGGGTTTTGTGGAAGATGTATTTGCCCCTTCACAAATAGATGAATGTTCTATTTTAGACTGAATTTATACCCAATATACATAGAGATATGTTTTGTAACCTGGTTCCCATGTAGTTCAATGACCTATTAAATTAACAAACTAGAATGAATGAAATTTAGGATTAAAAAAACATTCTTCTGTATCATTATTTTTGCTTCCAATGTATTATTTCTTGTACTTTAGATGTTTTAGAGGATTGTAACAATTGATATCGAAGCATGATCTCATGACTTACAAGTAGAGAGAAATCATTTTGAACTGTATTTAGGAGGATGATTTTAGACCAATACGTCTGTCAACTCATTTATGTGATTCGTGTCATTTTGATCTCCAAAGTTTCAGTTTTAAAATTCCCATCTTTAAACACTGTAGGACTATACTTCCTCTTTTTCAATCTGTGTTTACTTCTTCATTATCAATCAAAGATTGTAGATTTGGTTGCGTGGGGGGTTTGGATTCCTGGTTTTGTTTAATTAAGTATAGTTTATTGATATAGAGCGCATGCCTTGGGTATAAAAAAACATAATTAGAGATTTGTCACAGATAAGCAGATTGCAGGAGGGTTTACTTCATGCTGAACACATGCTCACACTGGTCAAGAATGACTATATCCCATTTGTAAAGAGCCGGATAACACCTATGCTGGATATCTATAACAGAAGTGTTAGGAATACAGAATGTGAGATTAATGGGTGGGTTCCACTCGTAGAGTCTATTATATGTGAGATCTACCATTTATCTGAGCATTTAGATTTACTCAATCTCATAAACATTCTTAAAAACTTGTTTGTTGTATTCCATAACTCAATATCCTGATTTTTTTGTCCAATATTGTTTTCTATGGAAATCCAAATTTGTAAGTACTTTAGCGAGCTTTCTGTGACCCATCAATCAAAATCCTTCTCTATCTCCAATTGAAGTCTCAAAATGCTCTTTTACATAGGTTAAACTCTATGAAATCCCCCTTCTCTCTTAATCGTCCGATCTAAAGGGTCTTAACCTTTAGTTTAATATAGGCTGCTACTTTTTTTTCAACAATAAAAAATAAAATAGGTGATTTTGTTCAACAAAAAAAAACAAAAACAAAAACAAAAAAAAAAAGAGAAAAGAACGAGTGCATGCATATTTGTTAACCACTAGGCCGCCCATGCGAGTTAGCAACCCCTTCACCTCCCACGTAAAAAAAAAAAAATAATCGTAAATACACTCTTTAAAAGAGATTTATTGCATTAAACTTCTACTGACACAATTTTCTCTTCGTTAGAGTTGTCTCTTAATGGAATTAAGAAAATAAAAGAAAATTACCTTATTATCCTTCCAAGTTAAAGTTAAAAAAAGAAGAAGAAAGTATGAGATATTTCCACGCTAAGTCCCCTCTTCATCCCCTTTTTTTTTTCAAAATGTTTTGTTAGTCAATAACTATTCATAATTTTCAAAAATGTGGCCTTTTTTTCAAAATGTTCTGTTAGTCAATAACTATTCATAATTTTAAAAAATGGTGTTAGTCCAGTGAGGCATAGGCTCTCCTGCATATCTTATTTATTCATACTTCTTCGTACTCTTTTAGAACTCAATTCTAAATCTGTACTGATAATTTAAATCGTCTACTTTGTAGATATTGCAATAAAGGTTATTTATGTAAAAATTTAACTTTATTGGACATCTATAAACATATGAATAAATAGCATTTTATTTTAAAAAATGAATAGTTTAAGTTTACAATCACATTTGTCATTCATTTTATAAAACAGAATGTGATTTTTTTTCTTATATTTATATATGTCCGATGAAATTTATTTTTTTGTATGAATAACTTTTATTGTAAAAGTTACAAGATAGACGGTTTGAATCATTAGTATGAACTTAGAATTGAGCCCTACGAGAGGAGTATAAAAAAAGTATATAGAGACAAAATATCAAAGGGAACTTATCCTATCAAAGTGAATGTCATCATCTTGCGTATACTGCAGCACCATGCAATTATTTTAGATCAATTAATGTAAAAAGTTCCCAAAGCTTGCTCCCTCAGTTGTTGTCCACATTATGGTTTTGGTACAAATCACCACCACCACATCATGATCGTCATCATCCTAAGTCAAAAGAGTTCTAATTTTCATTCAAAAATGTTAGGGCCCAACACAAGTCTGCTTCATTTTTTTCATCTCAGATGGCTCCACTCTGCTGATGTCCATGTCACCTAAAACTTTGTTACTATTTCTATATTCAAAATTAACGAACATTAGAGCAAAAAAAAATGTAGTATTTAGGTATAGTATAGCAGAAATAAATTAGCACATAAAACAGCCAATAACAAATGCAGAAACCATCTTGGTGCTGCTGCACAACATACAATATACAAGCATTCTAATAAAAGATAAACCCACAACCACAATACACCTACAATCACAAATTTTTGAATGTGACTTAGCTTTTATGCTCCAAAAAGGATACCAACGATACACCTACAATACGTGCACCCAGCACCATGGCCAGGGGTAAAAAGTTAAAAATAAAATCCACAGCTATACAAATATTGCATTATACCCTGTCCGTCCCAATTTAGTAAGTCACTTTCGAAAATCCAACTTTTCAAAGAGATCTATTTCATCCACACTAATAGGGTGTCAATTTCTAATTCCGGCACTCATTCTACAGCCAACGGTATTGAATGCATTCAGGTCATTTAAAAAGATAACATTTAACATCACTTTTCAAAGTAGACAGTCATTTTGAAACATCCCAAAATGGAATAGTGGACAGAATATGGTATGGGACGAACCAGGTGTTAATTTCTAATTCCGGCACTCATTCTTCAGTCAATGGTATTGAATGCATGACTTTTCAAAGTAGACAATCATTTTCAAACATCTCAAATGGAAAAGAGGACCGAATATGGTATAGGATAAAATGTATAAATAATCTAAAACTTGAGCAAAGAGCACATTCAGGAATGGCTCTACAGCTGCTGTAAAATTGAATTTCTCATAACCCATTTACTAAAATCTGATGGAACAAGTGTCATGTACGAAGTCTAAGCCAATGAACATAATAATCGCACAAGTTCACCAACATGAGACAAATATATTTCTGCTACTTGCTTCAAATGCATAACTTTTCATTAACAATAGCTCGAGCAGCTCAACAATACGAAGTTATCTGTCACTATGGGTGGTTATCGTGGACCCCCAAACCATTGCTCACCACGATCAGATGGCAAACGAAATGGAAAATGTGCAAAGTGGATCCTCAAAACAGGGGAGTCGGGTTTTTTGTCATCAAACTTGTAACCTGGAGAAGATACCACATTTCAGAACCTTCTCAAAATGTACATTTGCAACAAGAAATCAATAATAAATACAGCATTCTCAATTTCTTTAAAGCAAGTCCATGGCAAACAGCACATTAAAAAAAAATTTGAAATGTAAATTGGTAAAATACAATTTGGTGGATGGACTTCAAGAATTAACTAAATTTTATGTGTAATGATCAATTTCAAACCATATAATTTGCGTATACAAAAGTATATTAGTTACGTCCACCAAGGATAGCACTATGTGGAACACGGCCAAGCACAGGAGTGTCATGGGCAGAGTGGATATTTTCAAGAATTCATGTATTCCAGTGAACAACCAGAGGTAGTACATATATAAGGAGAAGTACAGTATAAAATATACATTTAACAAAAAAAAAAAAACCCAACAAGTGTGGCCTAATGGCATTTTGGCTAGTGTATTGAAAGGTTGAACAAGGTCTAAACTCTTCACCTTAAAAAAAAAGAATTTTTTTTGTATATTAAGTACATAATATGAACCCAAAAGTTTTATAATTTTCAAATTTATCTAAAGTTGATAATTTAGTTTGAACACCCAAGAAATAATCTCACAGGTGTGCACAAGGCAGGAGCTTATAACAAGGTTTGGAAAAGGTAGTAGATAGGCAACCTTACCCCCACCCTTTTGTGGAGAGTTTGATTCCAGAGGCTCAAATTTGCATCACAGCACTGGCGGTATGGGTTTGAGTCATGAAAATAGTCTCTAAAAACGGGGTAAGGCTGCATACATTTTGTCCTTCCTAGACCTCATTTTAGCAGAAGCCTTGTGCAGTGGATCGCCCTTTTTATTTTGAACCCAAAGGAACGTGACCTTTCAGTCAGTAGAAAATTTTAAATTTCAGTTTCACCTTCCTGTGCCTATTTTTTTTTTTTTTATTTAGGCCTCGTTTGGGAACAGGCTAATTTAGTAACTTTTTGGCTATTTGGCTAAAATATGAGTTAAAAAAAACTAGTATGTTTGGGATGACTTTTTGGCTTTTTACGAAAAAATGTGCAAAAAGTAGAGAGAAAATAAAAACTTTGATTTTTTGGTATGGGTTGGTTTTTTGGTTTTTTTAGTGACTTTTTGACTTTTTATCTAAAAAAGCTACTTGCCAAACGAGGCCTTACTTTCCAAATATATATATATATATTTAATTGCAAATTTGACCAAGTCAATTTGCAATTTTTTGAGGAATTTGCTACGAACTCATGAAATTGCGAATGAGAATGCAATGTGTGGCTAGGTTGGTGAATTGGGTATCCTAGATGTTCAATGCCCTATATAGCATGTCAGTAAAGGTCAATTTCCTTGTTCTGTGACTTCCATCACAAAAAGGACCCATAAGGACACCAAATGAAAATATATTTTACTGATACAAGTTGATAAATAGATAGAAGACCATAAGAGTTTTCCAGATATCCTTCACCTTGAAGAGCTTCCATGGCAGTAAGAGCACATTTGGCATCATTAAACTCAACAAAGCATAAAACCATAGCCTTATCTCCACTCTGCAATAGTCAATATTTAACTATCAGATAAATATGGTAACACAACAAAAAGAAGGAAACTTAAGATGACATCAGAACATCATGAACAAGAGGAGCATGGTTGTGAACTGTGAGTGCAAAGAAAGAAACATGTTAGACTAATGGTTGTTCCACTTTTGAATGTTATAAATGAAGTGCTCATCCTTCACTTTAAAAAGTACCTTGTTTGCTTCCAATTTCTTGAATTCAATTTTCTAAAAATTGAGTTTTTTGTTTTTTCTATTTTTTTGTTTTTTTAGTGAATTTTTTAAATATTTTAAGCAATTTTTTTACTTTTTAGATACACTTAATATAAATACAATTAAAAAGTATAATATTTGTGAATTTTTTTTTAAAAAAAATCACTAAATACCAAAAATACAAAAATTCAATACATTTTCGTATTTTTGTGTATTTATTGATTTTTTAAAATATTTTTTTACAAATATTTTACTTTTTAAGTACATTTAGGTAAGGTACATCTAAAAAGTAAAAATAAATATTAAAATATTAAAAAAATTCACTAAAAACAAAAAAATACGAAAAATAAAAAACTTAATTTTTAAAAAATTGAATTCAGAAAGTTGGAACCAAACAAGGTATGGCACTAGAAACTCAGAGGTTGCACTACCCTCCTGGTTTCATTCAACAAATCAGCACCACTAAGAGCCCACCATCACTTACAGTCATGCATAATTCCATGGACTAAGCCTAAACAGGATGACCAAGATGGAGATAAAAGTAGGACTAACAACCATGCTCACTATATGCATGCCCTCAACAACCCACCAGAATCATCTTCACTCACTTTGCCTCCTAGACAACAATACAGTTTTAGCACAAAAGAAAGCACAACTTGAGGTCTACATGTAAAAAAGAAAATAACTTGGGAATTGTGAAAAGATCAAAGAGAAAAAAAAGTGAGTTTGGAGCTTAAATTCACTTTCACAATAAATCATACTGAAAATGCATTAGTGTAGCCTTCATCAACATTTCCAAGGACAGTGAAAGGATTAAGGTAACTTGGTTTTTTACCTTTTTCTTGAACAAGTGGGTGGTGGAAGCTCTCCAAGGCATAGTTGTCAAATTGAGAATTGAATTGTGAATTGAAATTACTTTTTTCCGAATCGGTAATTGAATAGAATAGTGAATCATAAATACCCATCAGGTTACTAAAAACTAAACAAAACATAAAACACATAAGACATAATGCCTTTTGACATGTTAAACCACCATTCCCTTGAACCCTCTCATATCAATTACCTCCAGTGTCATGATTAAGGCACAGAAACATTTAATGCATTTCTTTATCTCAAAAACCACAACAATAATATAATTCATTTTAAAAAATAGTCAAAGTTGCAATACGAAGCACACGTTCGCACAACACAAAAAACTCTTTACTAACACAGAAGGGCATAGAAACTATAAGGATACAGTTACAAACAAGAAGATATATATAAACCTAGATACATTGGCAGTACCTTCAGATTTCAGCATATACGATAAACAAATCTAAAGGTAGTGCTTTCATCAACCCTGTTAATTTTATTTATTTTTTGATAAATAAATAGACAAAACTGTATTAGAAAAGCATCAAGAAGATGCAAAGAATACAAAAACCGCCCACAAAGGGCCAAACAAAACTATCTAATCCAATCCTCGACAAAATCTACAAAAACCAAAACATTTGAATCAACCGAACCCGTAACCCAAATATGCAACACCATCAACAACCGACTCTCTAACCATGAAACGGAACGGCACTCATTTTGAAAAACACACCAATTTCGCTCCAACCACAATGTTAATTATATCTCCACATAACCCAAAAAATAATTAAATAGCAAACTTACATGTCTGGGCTCCTTATGAACAACTCTGATATCTTTAAAGCCAATGAAAGGACGAAAAAGATCTTCAATTACACGTCAAGGAATAAAATGGAGGAACTAATTAGTATACTTGGGGGGAATCTTAAAATCTCCACCTCAATGGAGAAAGAAAGGAAGAAGATACAAAGAAACAGGAAGCCAAACCTCCAAAACTCTCAACACTCTACAATAGAGTATTAAGCATTATCACAGAAGGGTAACACATGTAGATATTTAAATAACACAAGGATACGACCAACTTCTCTCCTCAAACAGTCACTTGGAAGCCCATCAACAAACAGAATGTTTGAGTCCTTTGCCGGGACTGGGAGGCCATCAACCCTTGCCAAAGAGCCAGGCCTTTCACTAATTAAGTCTGACAAGCCTGGACCAACACCTACAGAAACATCCGATCTTTGGCCAAGTAAAGTTGGATCTTGTAAAGAAGTTGGGTAGCCTTTAATGCTGGCTCCTGTTGTTAATCCACCAAGACTGGGTTCAGGACGTATGCCAATACCCGTAATATCATTCACTCCATAAGCGCCAGGCTGCAAAGGTAATATCCAAAAGTAAACCAAAAATACGCATTGCCTATTACCAAGATCTCCAATCTCATAACTCAAAAGTCACTAAAATGCTAAATTCTTACATCTTTCTGTACAAAATCTGAAGAAATACCCTGCAAATCATTAGAACTCCATAGATGATGAGATGTTAATGATGATTGTTCAGGCAACAAGTAGCCAGGAAAACTCGGTCTTGGGATGCTGCCTGTTATTATAATGATGACTAATCAATACATGTATTGCGTCAACACAGAAGCAATCTAGAAAATCAATCAACATGGACTGGTTAGCTTTACGTTTACTTCCAGTTAAAACTTTAAAAAAAATATATATATATATATACATGGTAGTAACAAAAAAAATTATTCATAGAAATTTGGTCACCTCTTTTTTGGTTCCAATACAGGTAGTAGCATGATGTAGATTTGTGCGGTGATATTCTAGAATCAATAGCACAATCAAATTTTACACAGTTTCAGGGCAGTATTATGTAACGCTTACCTCCAGACTGTCACAATTTCACAACTGACTTAGACCTAATTAAAATAGATAAACAAAGGGAAAGAATGAAAAGGGATGAGGTTCAGTAGGTGTTAGGAGAATGGTTTCTCTTTTACGCTGTGTTTGGTTGGGAGATTTGAGGAGGGGTTTGGAAAGAGAAATGAAAAAGGTAAGTGAAATGTGAATAAAATATACCTACATTTCACCTAGTTATATTTTTCCTAGTACTACAGTTCCTTTCTTTCCCTTTCCCTTCCCTTTTCCCTTTCCCTTTCAAAATCACTCCCCAAATCCCCAAATCAAACACAGCATTAGTCTCTCGGGTGCCCTTCCAAAGGAAATTAAATTGCTTATACATGTCCAGCTTTTTTTCATGTGTAAGCAAACAAAAAATGGGATTTTTTGACAAAAAAACTATTCATTTGCTTCATCTTCCTACCCGAACCAAATAAACAAAATACAAAATTTAGCTGCATTTTGTTTGTCCTATCTCCCTTTCCTTTTCCTCAAGTCCATAAACAAACCCAATATCCAAACATTGCATCAGTTTCTGTTGCACCAATAAACAATACAGTTGAATAGCTTGATACACATTGTTGGGAAGATTTCATAATAGCTTAAAGCAGCTTTTGGGAAGGAAAATTGTGAGTTAACAAATACATGATGAAAGGAGAGCTCTACTATGGCAATCAAACACAATATTGGAATGTTTCAAATGATTGAGAAGAAAATAGAGAAAGATTGGGAATTTTAGGGCAAAGGAATAAGAACCTCTCTCGGCAGGAGCACCGTATCTCCAGTAGGGATCCCCCATCCACCTCTCTCTCTCTCTCTCTCTCTCTCTCAATATGAAAGATAGAAAAACCCTTCTGCGTGTTTCTGAAATGTGAATTCGACCACTCTCAACTTCAACACTCGACCAGACTCGACGCGACTCGCTGATGGATGGGGCAACCCGATTACGGACCCTTTTTCCTCTTTTTGGTGAACGATAAAGGGTGGGTGGAACTCGGACTGGTCACTCCGAATTGGGCTTTAGATTTTGGCTCTCAAGATAAAGGTCCACTTCTGATATTTTTGGGCCAACATGCTCAAATATTTTTGGATCAGAAAAATATCTATCTAAAATAATATGTTGTTTGGTTCTGTTTTTTAGAAAACAGACCTCAAAAAATTTTATTTTTTTATTTTTTGTATTTTAATATTTTCAATGATTTTGTTAAATATTTTAAGTATTTTTTTTTTATTTTTAGACACATCTAACATAAATACACTTAAAAAATATAATATTTGTGAAAAAAATATTTAAAAAATACACTAAATACGCTGCATTTTGTTTGTCCTATCTCCCTTTCCTTTTCCTCAAGTCCATAAACAAACCCAATATCCAAACATTGCATCAGTTTCTGTTGCACCAATAAACAATACAGTTGAATAGCTTGATACACATTGTTGGGAAGATTTCATAATAGCTTAAAGCAGCTTTTGGGAAGGAAAATTGTGAGTTAACAAATACATGATGAAAGGAGAGCTCTACTATGGCAATCAAACACAATATTGGAATGTTTCAAATGATTGAGAAGAAAATAGAGAAAGATTGGGAATTTTAGGGCAAAGGAATAAGAACCTCTCTCGGCAGGAGCACCGTATCTCCAGTAGGGATCCCCCATCCACCTCTCTCTCTCTCTCTCTCTCTCTCTCTCTCTCAATATGAAAGATAGAAAAACCCTTCTGCGTGTTTCTGAAATGTGAATTCGACTACTCTCAACTTCAACACTCGACTAGACTCTACGCGACTCGCTGATGGATGGGGCAACCCGATTACAGACCCTTTTTCCTCTTTTTGGTGAACGATAAAGGGCGGGTGGAACTCGGACCGGTCACTCCGAATTGGGCTTTAGATTTCGGCTCTCAAGATAAAGGTCCACTTCTGATTTTTTTGGGCCAACATGCTCAAATATTTTTGGATCAAAAAAATATCTATCTAAAATAATATGTTGTTTGGTTCTGTTTTTTAGAAAACAGACCTCAAAAAATTTTATTTTTTTATTTTAATGTTTTCAATGATTTTGTTAAATATTTTAAGTATTTTTTTTTTATTTTTAGACACATCTAACATAAATACACTTAAAAAATATAATATTTGTGAAAAAAATATTTAAAAAATACACTAAATACAAAGAAATACAAGAAAAAATATTAAAATTCAGTACATTTTTTATATTTTTGTGTATTTATTAATTTTTTAAAATATTTTTCACAAATATTTTATTATTTAGATACGCCAAAGTAAGGTGCATCTAAAAAAGTAAAAAAACTACTTAAATTTAAAAAATATTCACTAAAAACAAAAAAATAGGAAAAAAAAAACTCAATTTTCAAAAAACTGAAACCAAATACACTAATTTATTTGTTTAAAAATTTATTTATCTGTCTCTTCATTCAAATATTATCTATCTTTACATGTGTGTGACAGTGTAAATTTTTTACTTTCCAGTTAAAACTCGTACTTCTTTTTTTTTTTTCTTTTTTTTTGAATTTTTATCTTCATTGATATTTTTCAAAATTATGTCAGCTTTTTAAAATAAATTTTTAGGTTCATTTTATGTAGACGACTTTAAAAGAAAAAAAGTTACAAAAAATTTACTTAGCCTTTGTTTGGGATGTGAGTTAATTTTTTAGCTATTTTAATCTGGGGTTAAAAAATCTTGTTTGGGATAGATTTTTTAGATTTTTTAACTTTTATGAGAGAAAAAATAAAATGATTATGGTTTGAATTATGAGTGAGCAGCGGATATATCGATCTGTCCAAATCGACCAAATCGAACCGATTCGCCACATTTTAGACAGATGTGTGATGACAAGCGAACAGTTACGGATTTATTTTTTACAATCCGTCTAGTTTTGAACGAATGGCGGATTTGAGGTTCTTTTGGCCGCAACTGAACCGTCAAACCGCGAGCATCCCTAGTAATTTATAAGACTTTGTATTTTTAATTTGTTTAGGTATTCTATTTGTGTTTTCAATTAAAAAAAAGTTTAAATATTATGTTGAATATATTCTGTTGAAAAAAGAGCTTTCAACTTGAATATATTTTTTTATTTTTAAATCTAACTCTAAAAATAATAGTTTTTGTTTTGAAAAACAGATATAGATGTAAAAATACAAAGACATACAATCTCTACTACTGCTCTGTTCATGGTTTTGGTGGTTTGAATTGTTTTATATTTTAAGAACCACTAATTGTAATATTTTATTTGGATGAGACATTCAATGATTATAATACTTTTTTAAGTCATTGACTGTAATATTTTTATTTTGTTTTAAAGAAATGCACAAGTTGTATTATGTTGAAAATTTATAAAATTTTAAATCGCCAAATCAATTCGCATCCATCTGCTAATCCGCCAATTCGCTCAATCTACATCCGCCAGATGGCAGACGAAAGTGGATTGATTTTCTCCAATCTGCCAATCTGATAGACGGATGGCGGATTGGATGTTTCGTGGCCGCAACCGATCTACGCCACCCCTAGTTTGAATGTGATATTTTATCTTATTAAGCTAAAAAATCTAGGTAGCGTTTGATAGAGTTTTATAAATGTGATTTGAGAGTATGAGTTGTATTTTGAGTTGTATTCTGGAATTATGATTTGAGTGTAAAAAATTTATTTGGTTATGATTTTTAAATAGAATATTGAAATGTGTTTTGAAGATGTATTTTGAATTAAGTTTTGAAAGTTTGATGTGACATGTGAAATAAAAAAATTTGTTTGGTGATGTATTTTGGAAATAGTTCTCAAAACTTAATTCAATCAATAATTTATAATCAAACATACAACTCATATATCGATATCCGTATTTTTTATCAACAGTAATAACCAAACCGATATCCGTATTTTTTATCAACAGTAATAACCAAACTATTTTTAAAATACTGAAATTAAAAATTGATTTTTTTTCAATTAATTTTTTTCCAGTAATTTTTTTTGAATAATTTTTTTTTCAAATTATTTTTTTATTTTAAAATAAATCTATGTCAATTATTTTGTGTCAATTAAATTTTCTATCAATTCATTTTTTACACCTGTACAAACATCTTCTACAATACGTTTTATATATTTTTTTAAAAATTTTGTTAAAGTGAACAACTTTTAAGAATACATATTAATAAAAATTAACATAAATACACTAAGTGTAATATTTTTAAATACAAATCATAAGTAAACCTTACAAAACATTATCAATTTTTTTTCTCATTTATTACACATTATTAATTTAGTAATTCAGTATACGGATGTAATATTATTAAAAAATTATTAATATTATAAAAAAATAATAGATAAGAAATAAAAAGTAAAAATAAAAAATAAAAAACAACCTGAACCTTCTGAACCTCAGCCTTTCTATAAAAAAAATAAAAACAACCTGAACCTTCTGAACCTTAGCTTCAAATAGTCGAAGAGCAGGAAGTCGGACGGGGACAACCGGGAGGTCATCCGGCCGGTCATCCCATCTCACACCTCCCACTCAGTTTCCTATCAGATAGTCGAAGCTTCCATGTCTGATGTTTGATACAGAGAAAAATATGAGGTTCACGCGAAATTTTCAAATACGATGGAGAAAGACATGGAAGCTTTTCAGATCAAAAGAGAAAGAAAGATGAGGGTCACGGGAAATTTCCAGAGACAATGGAGAATGAAGGGGAAGCTTTTCAGAGCAAAAAAGGAAGAAGACAAACATGTTGAAAGTGGAGAAATGAACTACGAGATGCCAAACGGATTTTCAAACCGTAATTTGAATTAACACGCGGAATCATATTTTGAGTGTCCTATCCAAACGTCAAGCGGGAATTCACCTGTTGAAAGTTAATTTGAAAATACAACCAAACACAGCCCTATTTTATCATTTTGTGACTATTTTAGCTCAGGAAGAGGATGCCAAACATAGCCTTAGGACCCCAAAAAAAAAAGGGACCAAAAAATCAACTAATTTTTTTTGTTTTTTTTTTTATTTTTTATAGTATTTTTTGGATTTTTTTCAACTATTTTTTCTTGGATTTGTCTATATATAACCTTAAAGTATAAGAGTTTTTGAGATTGTTCAAATTTGTTTTACTAAAGACCAAAAAAAAAAACAAAAAAATACTAAAAAAGTCAACCAAACACCCACGTCGTCTAGGGATTGTTTGGGAAGTACTAAATTATTATACTTCTTGACTTTTTACGATAAAACGTGAAATATGGGTTGGATTTGAAATAATGTGGTAGAGAGATGATGTGACATGATTATGACCTAAATAGGATAATGTGCTAAAATAGCGTGTTTTATTTTAGCACATGCCAAGCAACCACTTAATATGTGTTTGGGATAAACTAAAAAAGTACACTTTTTTTTTACCTACATACACTTATTCGGGTCACATCAATCAATGTTTATCAACATCTCCTCTCTATTTTTTTAGGAAAAATTACCAAGAAGTCTCATTTGAAAAAAGTGTAATCTATTTAGTCCCAAAACTTTTTATTTGTACCCAAAAGTCCAATAACGTTATTCTTCTTCTCTACCTTTCTTTTTCTCTTTGTGATTTCCAGCGATCGTTGACGGGTAACCATATCTTGCTTCTTCTCTTTCTTTTTCTCTTTCTGATATATAGTCACCGGTGACCACAGACTACATTCGATTGGATTTCACCGGCAACCACCGACCGCCGACTCCTTACCTCATCGACGGTAAAGAAGATATGTTTCCAACGAAGAAGATGAGTAGATCTACTTAGATCTGGAGTAGATCTAACTAGATCTAAACAAAAAATAGTTGCCGGAGTACAATCATCTCTTTATATTCGCTTCTCTCCTTCGATCTCTTATTTTTTTTACATTTTCTCTGCTATACACTTCTCTTTTTCTGTTCTAATGCAGAAAATTTTTAA